GGTCTGTCACTGCTGGTGTCCGCCCTTTTCCGCTGGCCATGCAGCATTTCTACGCATTTGTCTCCCAGGTTGCCGTCATTGGTGGTGTCCGGCCCTTGCCATGTAGCATTTCTATTCATTTGTCTCCCAGGTTTGTCACCGCTGGCCCATGTAGCATTTCTATTCATTGTCTCCCAGGCCTGTCACTGCTGGTGTCCGCCCTCTTCCGCAGGCGATGCAACATTGCTGTTCATTCCCCAAACAGTTTGCCGTTACGTAGGGTTTGTCACTTCTTTCTTAAGATGTGTCCGCGCTTTCTGTCACTGCTGGTGTCCGCCCATTTCCGCTGGCCATGCAGCATTTCAATTCGTTTGTCTTTAAAGTGATTTCTTTACTTTTGTCTCCCAGGTTCAGTGCCTGCACTGCTGGTGTCCGTTCTACTTCCCCAAACAGGTTACTGTTAGGGGTTCTAAATGCTTTCTAAGAGTGTCCGCCTTGCTGCCGGACAGCGTGTCCGCCTTCCGTCCGGCTTGTCTCTCTTGGTCTCCCTTCTTGTTGGTCACTGTGTCCGCCTTGTCTCCCTTCTGTTTCCTTTTGTCTCCCTTCTTGTCTCTCTCTTCTGTTTCCGTTTGTCTCCCTCCTTGTTGGTCATTGTGTCCACCTTGTCTCCCTTCTTGTCTCCCATTTGTCTCCGGTCTTGTCTCCCTTCTTGTTGGTCTTGTCTCCCCTCTGTTTCCTTTTTTCTCCGTTCTTGTCTCCCTTCTTGTTGGTCATTGCGTCTGCCTTGTCTCCCTTCTGCCTCCCTTTGTCTCCGGTCTTGTCTCTTTTCTTGCTGGGCACTGTGTCCGTCTTGTCTCCCTTGTTGTCCCCCTTCTTGTTGGTCGTTGTGTCCGCCTTGTCTTCCTTCTTTCCTTTACATATCCTCCTCTCTCCCCCTCTCACTTGCAACCCTTCATATTTGTCTCCCAGCTGCTCTGCCCTGCAATCCCTTACATTTGTCTCCCAGCTCTGGGCTGCGTGTCGCTTGCAATCGTTTACATTTGTCTCCCAGCTCTGGACCCTGCCTTGCAGTCCTTTGTCTCCCAGGTCTGGACGTCGCAAGCTCTAGTTGCAGAGTGTTCCGATTTTGAAAAACACAAGCTGTTTGGGGTCTACGGTGGTGTAATTTATTTTATTGCGTCCGTCCCATGGAATGTTTGCCAATACAAGCTGAAGCATGTTGGACATCATCGTTTTGTGGGTCATCTAGCATGAGGTGTTTTCTTGACCCCGATCGCATGCCACCCGACCGGGGCGAGTAAACCAAGTGGCCAAAAGGTGCAAACGGAGGTGCTTCTGAAACCACCACAGGTCAAGGGGCGCGCACAAGGTGCGCGCACGGTTGGATTCTCCCACTGCGCTAAAAAGGGTTGTGGCCTCTCAACCTCTATTGGAAGAGTCCAACAAACATCCAACAAGTCGTTCGGTATTCATTCTTTACTTGGTTTTCCTTCCTAGTAGTAATTCCAGGAGCTACTACTAGTAGCTTCTTGCTCCAGTAGCGATGCCCTTTGTTACTAGTAGCTTAACCATGGCGAGCTTGGCAAGAGTGTATCCAGATAGTTTTGACAGGTGCGAGAAAGACGATCCCTTCGCCAAGCAAGTTGGAGACTGAGCTGTCTATTGTTAACTTTGATGGGGGATGCTGCATTCACTTAAAGCTTAAGGTGCATTACATATTATGGAATTGTATGGAGGCATTGGGAGACCTCCCAGTACACCAAGAGCCTCAACATGTTTCTTGTGGCAGCTTTTTCCCACGATCGAGCCTCAACAATGCCATGCTTGCCATGCTCACGCCTGGCCTGAGAAAGCACACTCTTGATCGACCAATTTCTGGTCCCGGCAGAGACACCAGCAGCTCGTAGGTATATAGTTCAAAGCAAAGGTTCCAGCAGCTCTGGCGCTCGTTTTGAATGTCAGGCCTTCTCTTGCTGGCGGGTGCAGCTTTACCACAAGCACCTTTGCAGGAACAAGATACCGATAACATGCTCCATGTAGTGTATTGCAATATGGCTGTGAGTCAAAACCTCCAACCAAACCATGGAAGGTTGGCATCCCTCAAAGAGGAATCTGTTCATTTTTGGTGGCCCAGAACTTTTTTGACCCATATGTAGCCCATAGCCCATCAGTCCCATAGCTGTTGCATCGGGATCCCTGTTGGCTGTTGTCCAACTTCTGACCACCGATTCAGACTGACAATAGCTGCCCTGGTGTCGCCACAATCTGCACGTTGGGACGCCCGAAGACCCCTTTGTATTTGTTACGTGCGAACATTCAAAAACATTGAATTGATCTCATGCAGCAATGCGTGATGCCACTCTATCTTGTGTTGCTTCTTGTGCGAACGTTTTTTGGAACAGAGGCCCTAACATCACGCTAACATTAAATTAGTAATATTATATATTATATATAGTTATATTTATATATTTGGAGAGATAGATGATGATAGATTTAATACATATCACGAAAGGTAGCCCTTTAGGGGATACCTTGAGTTTGTCTTGCGAAGCAAGTGTTGGGACGTCCGGGTCTAATAATTGATCGCTCAATTCAGACCCCCCTCCCCCCCCCCTCGCATTTATTTTTTATCGCACACCCCACCCCCCCCTCCCCCCCCCCTCGAATTGATTTTTCAATACAGACCCACCCCCCCTCCCCCCCTCTAAAATCAATTCTCTCCTGGAGAACGTCTTCGTGAGCCTCTCATGATTTCAGGATAGTTGAAACCCTCTTGAACATTCAGAAGGAGTGAATATGAAATTCTAATCACGAAAGGTGTTCCCCGAGGGGATTGTTTTGTGAAGCACGTCAATTCTCTCCTGGGGAGCGTCTTCGTGAGCCTCTTATGGTTTCAGGATAGTTCAAATCCTATGATGTTCCGATTCAATGCTCACGATGATCTGAGCCATGGGGCAAGTTTGTTTTCCTAAGAATCTTTTTGAACATTTCGAGAGCATATGTTTGAACATTTAGAGTGCATATGAACATATATTTTCCAAAGGTCGCCTCCGAGGGGATAAATCACCATGTCGAACATTGCATTTTTGTTCCTGCCTCTCGCGTTCTCTTCTCTTCCCGCTGTCCTACCTTTCGTGTCTCCCTCCTCTCAAGTTCTTTGGAATAGTCACATTGGCATTTTGCATGGGATACCTGTGCAGCTTGGATTCCTGTCCAGGTGTTTTGTGGATCTTTCTCTGACAAAGTCGCCGCCAGAAGCGCTTCCTTAGCTGCGGGTCAGTGCCGGGGCTGCATTTTGGGATGGCATTCTCACAACATATGCGTTTCAAGATTTTCAAGACCCGCGGGCATCGTCCTGTTCTCCATGTTGAGTGGTGTGACTTTTTCGGACATATCCTTCATCCGTGCCACTTCTGTCTCATCACCTAGTTCACAAGCTATTGCACCACTTTCATGAAGCATTGCATAACTTGTGTGAGCACACGCACTGTTTGATCATAACGCGCGAGAAACACCCTTGAGAACTTGATACAGTACAAACTCAAGCGCATCCATATTAACTTCCATTACTATACTAATACATAATACTACATGGATCTAAATAGCCTATATAGCATTTGACATTACAAACAACATCCATATACTTGGAGCCGTGCGGAGCCCACCTGTTGTTTCTATCAACAGTAAAAACGTCTTTGACATATCCGGCGAGGCTGGAACGAGCCATGGACGTCACAAGGGCCTGGTGAGTTCCTTTTATGATGATCGGAACGATGCTTTTCTGAGTTGGATTCACGGCCTGTTCATTTCCCTTGAACTCCTCATGAAATGTGTTTGTGTTGGAAAGGGTTACAACATACACACCGACCTATTGTAGCTATCCATTTATGGATCCCCATAGTGCATGCAAAACATAATATTGATTTACAGTAGTTAGCTAGGCTAGTGTGGTTGAGCTGGAGTCTGGGAGGACTTTGCCTCACCACATGTTTCTTTTGCTTGTTTCTGAAAAATACAAAAACAACAACTTTCCAACCGGGGGCACTGCCCTGTTGGTAGCCTATCCATGTTGAAGGATTTGAGAGGTGCGGGATCTCTTCCGTTTATCGAGAGACTCGTCTCTCGGTTACACGGCGTTGTCGAGTCTCTGCCGCAACCTGTTGGCGCAGATGATCTCGGCGTCGAGGCCGCGTGAACTGCCTTCTGGACTGGATTCCCCACTGGATT